TTAAAACAATTATTTTTACATGCCATTGCCTTATAAACACGTCTTTCTTAAACGTAAAGATGACTTCGAAAGGGCCGCATAAGAAATTTAATGAAAAATACAAGAGTAATGGTAAGATATTTATTATTCATAATTTGTAGTAGTTAGTATGTCCCTACCTAAATTTATGCTTTAACAATAATAATATGTTTATACCTAAAACTAATATAGCTATAACTTATAAAGTCTTATAAAACTATTAATTTAGTGTATTAGGTACAAACAGTATGCAGTTTTGTATTCATAACTCATTATTATAATATTAACATGACATTTTGTGTGTATGAATTATATTTTATTGAAATTTAAAATGTTATAACAGGATACTACTGAAGACAGTAATAATAGTAATACCTCAACAATACCCCATCCCCCAGATAATGCTGTTGAAAATAATGTATCAAATAATGATAAGAATATCCATCGATGGCTACAGGCCACATAAATACTAGATGACAAAATCTGTAAGAAATTATGGAATAAGTACATTTTGGAAAAACTTGGTTCACTATTCTCTAAATTCTTAAGTAAGTCAAAGTGTATTATTGGATTGAAATAGTACACTATGGCGCAACCAACATTTAAAATTATCAATTTAAATAGTAAAATAATAATTTTAAGGTAATTTTGACTTGATAAGTATAATAAGTATATTTTTCTGAGTTTTTAACATGTTTTACCTTTTTTCTACTGTTTAACAACAGTATACAATAGAAAATCGTGATTCCTGAACATTATGAAAAGTGGCAATGGTACATTATGGAATGTCACCCCTTAATTGAACCAGTTATTGTTTTTAATATAATGTTTATATACTACACATTTTATATTTCATGGTTTTTTGTAAATAAAGTTTTTATCAGTAAATAATTAAATAATCATAATAAATATAATCTTTTACATACAAATTACTAATCTTTTTGTCCATATACTTTTTTGTTATAGATTTATCAGCCAGAAGTAAGTACCTACCTACTTTTGGAGACCTAGTCACCTTTTATATAGTAAAATGTTCCTATTTTAATATTACAACAATAATAATTTATTGGTGTTTACAGCTAATTTTCGATTTTTATATAACCAGGGACTTTTTTTTTATGTCACTCATTAGTTACACTTAAACATATATTAAATTTTAGTTCAGAACACAATCATGCTTTGCTATTCTTATTTGAAAAAAACATGTTTAAAAATGTTAAAATGTTAAAATGATTTAAAGATTTAAACATATAATTATACATATTTGTTAAAAAATATAGTTTACCATGATGGCGCATCTTAACCATAAGTCCACAACTTTCTTAATTCTGGGTGACTTTAACAGCAGAAACATATTATAGGGTTCGTCACAAACTGACAATCGTAGAAAAACTAGGGCTTGAAATCGGTTAGGTACCGTTATTATAAACCTATTTGTATTCCCAGTTATCGGTTACCGGTTACTGTGACAATTTTTCAGCTTACATAAAACGTTGTAATAATGTGATGTGTTTTAACCAGTTAAGAACCGATTACCAGTATTTATAAATACTGAGTACTGACTACCGTTACCTATGAACTATAATATCAATCAGAATACGATAAAAGGCACATTACTCAACTTTTAACAAACGACGTATACACAACTGTAAATTTATGTCTGTCCCTGATAGGGAACGTGTACAAAGGTAATTTAGTAATGGTTTCAAACCCCGAGAAAAATTATTAGAAAATCCTCCACTGATTCTATATTAAATAACGGTAACTCAACAAGACACAACTCCACAAACAGTGCTTTGTCAGTCTTCGACCAAACAATATCCAGCACCAATATTGCTCCTGAAGTTGACTGGAAGTACGCACCAAGTATAACGGAAGCGAAAATTGGCCAATCTATCTCGACATTTTCAAAAAATCTAAACCAGATGAACCAATTAAACGATGGAAACTTACCAAAGTAAACTGGAATCTCTTCAGTGAGTTGGTCGTTCGCCAATTAGAAAATCAATACTGGACAAAAAAATTCAGATGAATTAGAAATAGACCAAAACAAAATTGACTCCATAGTGGTCTCCCTCACAGCGATTATTATAAATTTATTATAAATATTTCCATAAGAAAGTCTTCCCGTTCCAAAGCCACCAAAACAGCAACGTAGTGGAATCCTGAATGCAAAGAAGCTATTAAAAATTACAAAAAAAAAAATTAAGCAGTTTTAAAAAAACCAAAATTCTTTGTTAGATCACATAGTACTTAAAAAAAGGAGAGAGGAATCAAGGTTTACTACCAAAAACTACAAATGCGTGACCTGGAAAGCATTGGACTCCACAATTAATCAACAAACCTCAGCATGTTGAACAAAATCAAAAGATTCAAAGGGAATTAATTCATCTCGATACCCAACATCATGAAATACAAAGAGTAATATATCAAAACTAATCTGGACATTGCCCGAGCCTTCGCTGACCTATTTCAAACAAAACAATAGTAACCAAAATCATACGGAACCCTTCCTAAAATACAAAAATTAAAACGAGAACTCCTCTGTCATAGACCCCCTACCACAGCACAGAAAAACCTCTTACAACTCTACTACCCCAGCCAATGGTGAAAAGCATGTTGTAGCCCATTCGGCTCCCGTTTCTCTAATCAGCTCCCGTTTTACAAAAAGGTCAATTCCCAAACGGCTCCCGTCCAAAAAGGTCTGAAGAACAGGTTTATTAATAAACGGCTTCGGTTTTGTACGGCACAAATTCCTTCCCACTTTATACAGACTTAGGGCTGTCTCAAAAGTGGTGTGGTTAAAAATGTCTTGGTGTACACTATGTAAATTATTAAAATTATATAAAAAAAAAGCGTATAGTATAATATTGAATTTTAAATTTTTAACTTTAAAAAAATATTTAAAAAATGTAAAAAATGTATAAATAAGAATATTAAAAAATCATATATCGGGTAAATTTGTTAAGCACAATTTTTTTATATAGTCTTTGCGTGATATTTTATTTGATGAAAACTAGCAGATGATTTTTTCGACGAACTCTTGTTTTTTTTTTTCGTTCTTGGTGTATTAAAATAACTTCGAGATTTAATTTGCGTTTCAGATTGTATATTGGTATATAATAAAGGTATTGTGTGTGCTGTTTTGGAAGACAGGCGTGTATATGTTCAATAATTGTTGTAGAGTTTTCAATTATACATTTATTCCTATTTGAACATTTTTTTTTGGACGGGAGCCGTTTGGGAATAAGCGAACAATAGACGGGAGCCGTTTGGGATCCGACGGAAAAGCAATCATCATCCCAGTACCGAAACCAGATAAAAATAATTTCACATAGAAAACTACCGTCCCATCTCTCTTATAAGCACATTATGCTAAGTACTATAAAAAATAATCAACTCAAGACTCACATGGTACTTAGAAATTAGAAGTCTCCAAATAGTCCAGTCAATAGGGGGTTTTGCCTTATAATAAATACAGAAGATTTGAAACTTGGCAAAAAGCTTCGTCTTGGGGCCCTGATTGACCAAAAAAAATTCGCCATCCCTCTGAGGTCTGCAACCATCTTGGATTTTATGTGAAATTTTTGACTTTCTTACAATATCTATAAAACTAATAACTTAACGATAAAAATAGTTTCATAAAAATTGAAGATCGTAAAATTTGTGACAAGAAAGGTTCTATACATTTTTAGAGTAAGAGTAATAGATAAGTGACAAAGTCCATCTGCCGCCATGGTATTTGGCGCCACGAGCTAACATAACGAGTATAATGTATATATACGACATTTTTCACTTTTTAACGGTATTCTTACAATATCTCTAAAACTAATAACCGCAATAAAAATATTTTACATGGGAATTAAATATAGTAACATTTATGACAACGAACGTTTTTGACGTTTTTAGCATAAGAGTAATTAGATAAGTGACAAAATCCATCCACCCGTCTAGAATGTAGCACCGCACGCTATAACACTAAATACTCTAAATACGTCATACAGCGGCCGGCGCCACATTCTATGACGGGCGGATGGATTTTGTCGCTTATCTATTACTCTTAAGCTAAAAATGTATAGAACCTTTCTTGTCATGAGTTTTAGGATCTTCAATTTTAATGAAAACTATTTTTATCGTTAAGTTATTAATTTTAGAGATATTGTAAAAAAAGTGAAAAATTTCACATAAAATCCAAGATGGAGGACGGTTGCGGACTTCGGAGGGATGGCGCATTTTTTTGGTCAATTAGAGCCCCAAGACGATACTTTTTGCCAAGTTTCAAAACTTTAGTAAATAATTCAAGGCAACGCCTTTTTTGAAGCAATATTTACTGGACTAAAAAGATTCAATAAAGCAATGCAAATTTCGAAAAAACCACTCCACGATCAATGCCTTATCCAATATTCACTCACATATATGTAACGCAGCCACAGGGATGTACGCTGAAAAAAATTTCAGGGGTATTTTTGAAAATCAGTTGCTGTTTTTTTAATAAACATACGAAATTTTTTTTAAGAAAATTAGCTATACTTAGTACTTACAATACTTTTTTTAAAATATAAACAAAAAAATTACAATAAATTACAATACTAATTTTCTTGAAGTTTTATACATTGTGTTAAGAATATCTTCACAATTAACTTCAATGTCTCTATATACATTTAACAATGTTAATCCATTTAATCTTTCTTCGCCTATTTTGTTACGTAAATACGTTTTCAATCTACGAAGGGGAGAAAATGAGCGTCCACTTGTAGCTACGGATACTGGGAGCGTAACACCAATACAAAATTATAAAAAATCGATGAACTGATTTGTACAGTGTTGAACCGCATTGGCTTAGAACTTCGATAGATCATACTGGTCGATTTTCATTTGGCATGCCCAAAGAATGCCTGTAACATATATAACTGTGATATTACTGATATTAGTGAGATAAATTAGCATGCAAACTCGAATAATTAAGATGGAGTTTACCTTCGTCACATAACTATTTTGGCAATTTGGTCCTCTGATGTTCCAAGTATCTCATTTTGCCATTCTGTTATTAAAGTGTGTGCTGTTTCTTCAATTCCATCTGTATCCAACGTTATACATTTTGACGGCAAAATATTCTGTATTTTTAAAAGTAGTGTACTATGGTCAAGAAATTTTGAGCTTAATTGATCCAGATAATTATCTAAAAATGGAATAAATATCGATTTACGATAATATGCTTCTGGGCTGCCTGCATAATTTTCACGATGTATTTGATTTTTAACACGCCGAGGAATAATCATTTGGACACCGTTTTTTTTCTGCCGTTTCTGGAGCTTGTTTAAACACATTTTTAAAATTACTTTCTGCATTTTCTCTCGTCTGACTGATTTCTTTATACAAATTATTTGAATACAGAATGCAACTGCTTAAATCGAAATCTACTTTTTGCAATGATAAGTTAAGATTTTTAATCAAGCTAAAAATCGGTTTTAGTACTAATAATGCAACAATAAATTGAGGTGTACACATTTATAAAAGAAGAGTGTGTGGTTGTACTGTATCAAATTTACAGGTTGTTACTTCCAGTTTTTCAAGCGCAGAGCATATATATTCCAAAACATCATAGAATAAACTGAGTGAGTTTAAATGTTCCACCCACCTTGTTTCGCAAAATTTCAAGATTCGTGTTTGTTTAGCTTCTGGAACATCAGCTTTTATTTTATTTTTCAGTATTAATCCAGGTTTATTTGATTTACCAAAATTATACGAAATGGTCTGGAGGCAAAGAGTAATCCTTATCCTACTCTAATAGAACATCACAGAAAACATGATTAAATTCATCACCAATTTCGTACAGGACAGATCATTCCAAACAAAAATTATTGTAACATTATCAACCACTCATAATATTGAAAATGGAGTCCCTCAGGGCTCAGTCATCAGTGTCACCCTGTTCTTTGTCACGATAAACAATATATTTGACAACATCCCCCAACCCCCCTATAAAATATACCATCTTCGCAAATTATTGTAACATATTTTGGATTGATGGAAACATAAAAATAACATTTGAACTCATCCAGCAAGCCATGGATGAACTCCTCGAATGATCAGCCACAACCGGTTTCAATTTATCACCATCCAAAACCCAAAATATCATCTTTCATAAAAAGCGTGGTGAAAACTTATACCACATCAATTCAAATAACAATATAACCTATCATATACAGACAAAATAAAAATACTAGGTATGACATTCGACTATAAACTAAATTGGAACCCTAGCCTTAAGAACCTCAAAGTTATTGCAAACAACAGCATGAAAATTATGAACAACTTATCTCACTACACTTGGGATTCAGAAAAAAATAGCCTCATAATTATATACAAAGCAACTATACTAGCAAAACTGGATACGGTGCAGTAATTTATAACACAGCCAAAAACAAAATTCTTAATAAACTGAATCCTATAAACAATCAAGGTATTAGAGTATTAGACTATCCACAGGTGCCTTCCACCTAAGCCCAACACCAAGTATTATGTGCAACGCTGGAGAACTTCCACTTGAATTCAAAAGGGAGACAATAAGATTTGAAACTAAAATATCAAATGACAAAACTCAAGCTCCAATCAAAAGACTCCAGAATACAAGCAACATCTCAAACACACTGTAATAAGATAAAACGGAGCGACCAAATGCGTGGCGCGCTCTAGTTTTACACATTACAAATAATCAATATCGATCGCCGCCGTGCGAGATCAACCGGACGACTGAACGCGACTGCCGCCAAACAACACAGATAGCGCGTATCAACACACTATTAAACGGATGCACGCCGCCCTCCGGAAAATCAAGTTTCCATATTGAAAGCCACATCCGATCAAGTCGCGGGTAGGATATTCTTTTTCCGCGACTTTCCAACTACAATTTAGACACCCTAAATGATGTCCAACACCCAAGCAGCCATCATCATGACGAAAAACGTAACATGCGATTTTTAACATTATACACGGCACCAGCGCGCATCACATAGCAGAAATATAGGCCGCTGGCCGCCGTGAAAGACACACGTTTCCCCACTGAGTCAGCAACTTGCGAGCCGAACGATATTAACTATCGTCAAGAACGGACGTAAATCACTGTACTAACTACAACACTCTTTGTCCTCAGACTGAAAGAGCCGGACGATATACTAATATCGTCACGAACGGATATTTCACAGTCTGCCCTGGCAACCAAACCTCCGTCACCACCTATGTGAGTCGCGAAGTCCGTCCGCCGTCGTTTACCAGTCACAGTCGCTGTGTGCCGCCATCCAGTTACCTGTGCAGTATCGTTCCAACCACCACCGGGTAGACAACGCGCTCTCAAGCCGTGTCCGCTACTGATTCAAGTGTTCCAAAACACACCAAGTCGAGCCGATCACGCCGGTAGCATACTACGTTGTTAGTTGTACCGTGCCAATAATCGCGCCACTGTCCGTGGAATGCGCACGCCGCCACCATGAACTACCGAACAAAAACCGTGAGTCTAAATGTTCACATTCCCCACACCCCCGTATTTTATGTGATCCCTGAATAAATTATTTTATATGTAAACTCGCAAGAGTATAATTGATTAAAAGAAATACTGTAATACAATTATCAAAACTGTATCTGTATGAGAATAATGAGAATAAACGTGCAATAATATCAATAAATAAATTACAAGCGTTGAATTTTCATTACAACACCTCACAATATCAATGAAATGATATCAGATCTAATGAAGTTCAAACCACTCAAATTATCTTTCCGTCATCTCCTCCGTGGATGTGGAATATTAAACTCAATACCCGACTACTCAATTATTTCAAGACACCCTCATAAAAATCAATAATCTAACTAAAATACACCGAAAAAACACTTGGGAAGAGACTCCAAATACAAATAAACTTAAAGAAATCAAAACATCAATCGGCCCATAGAAAACCCTCTTGCCCTAGTAAAGTCACGAAGAAGTAGTAATCAGAAGGACTCGGATTGGACACTCCAGTCTAACCCACTTGCACCTTGACGCGGCCCTCGTTAGTAGCAAGTACAATGTACAAGCACTATAGCGACCAGTCTATCTTATCTCCAACCACCACCACGGGATGCAAGCAGCGCGACCGGGTTGACTCTCCCACCGAGCCGGTAACGGCAAGGCGGGACGGGGGACTGTGTCGCGTAAGACGTACAACGGTCGGCGGAAAAGTCGATTCGAGATCCACCATCGGACCGTCGGACCGATAACATATCGTCCGACGTTAAACTCATCTGCCCGAGCGGCACGTCATGTATTGTTATATTTTGGTCGCAATATTATAATACATAATTTGTGACATTCTTAAAGTGTTTGTGTTGTGTTTATTTCATCACCTCAATCCTAACCAAACACTTCGACCGGACCACGATCAACCTTGAAGCAATCATCGTGTCCGCGTCAACCTTATATCAAAAGAATACTGCCCGACATGTGAACTCTGTGACAAAGAACTGACGATCAAACACATCACACTAGAATGCCCCAAGTTCAACAGCTATAGAAAATTTCTCAGAAATCCATCAACGAGAGATCAGTACCGTCACGCGCATGCAGAATGACCGGCAGCGACGGTGCGGAGCCCAATTTTCCCCACTATGTGCCGGAATTCCGCAATCGTCGCAATTACCGACCGACACCGACAGTTGCCAAAACGCTGTGGTTGGTTGAGTGGGAGTGATTGAGTGGTAGATGCGCGAAATCGGACGAGTTTTGGTCGAATAGTGGTACTGATCTCTCGTGGACCGGAGTATAGATGTTCATACCACCACCTCGCGCTCGATCTTATAGTACCGCACCATAGGTCAAAACAGGTTTTCTATCGCAGCCGTACACCTGAACATAGCTTATAAATACCCAGATAAGAAAACGATTATTATATATTTTGTGACAAATATTATTTAATTTTGTTGGGTTTTATATTTTATATTCGTATCCGAATTATAAACAAATAAAAACTATACTTTTGTTCTTCAAGTAATACGGCTTATTGAAGCGTTTTACAATAAAACTACCTATTATAAAAATTGTAGAAGAGAATTTTTTTAACATTCGTAAGAAATTCTATTTTTGATATCGTATTCCTATCGTCCAATATCATATGGTAAATTAACACGATTTTTAACTTTTTATCGATAAATTATTCAACTAATTAATAAATATATCTAAATAAGGCTTCTTACGATTGTTAAAAAAATTCTCCTCTACAATTTTTATAATAATTTTGCGGTGGTAAAAATATTTAAAATATACAATATGCTTCAAAATCTCCACAATTTTGGGCCGCCACTGTGTCATATAATAATGATATTATAATCATTTGTGTTCGGAACACCGATAAGATCATAATATGATTCGATACGGCAGTCGTCCGTCGATAAGTACGATTAAAGAATTTAGTATACGTGAGACCGCTACGATGTATAAATGTCGCATCACAAGCCCCACGTAAAAAGTCGTTAGAAAGCTAAATTTATCGTCAGAGTTTCTCGAAAGTTGAATTCGTTTTTAATATCGTTTGGGCCGGGAACGTTACCACAATAGAACGTGCGCCCGGTCACTTTGCGCACTCCGCTACGCCTATGATATATGGATATCTGTCACACCGACCGACCTGTGTTTGTTGTGTGTATATATGCTTTAGTACTCAACAGAAATTGGACAGGTTCACCGAGCAAGATCTGTGAGTACTAGTATGCAGGTGGCGTGTGTAGATATGTATATGTGTGGATGTGTGTATGCAATCAAGCTAATAATAAAAAATAACAATATATAGCAAGGAAGTACTGTGTATTACTGGTTGCAAAATTGAAAATGACAGTTTATAATAATATATACATATGCAACAGGAGTCAGAAACCCAACGATATAAAATATTATAATAATGTGGTCCTCTTTGCTCAATAGAGTAAAAATAATATATAACTAGGACTGAAATGCGGTTCGCTGATTGCAAGAAATTGATCTGAGTGAATTAAACACACCGAAGCTAATTGAACTTGTTTTTTGAATGACATGGATTTGATAGATTCTGATAGCTGAAAAGGTACAAATTAAGATGACACTATCGTTGGGACATGCTTTTGTTCGAGGCAGCGTTTTTACTCTCAAATATAACTCTCAAACATTTATATGCGTTGTATGCGTTGGAATTATCGAAGATTTTAATTATATAGAGTCGACTGTAATATAGAGATTTTTTTCAGAAATTCCATTACCTGGTGTCAAGTATGATGAGTTTATAAAACAAACATATATATTCTGTAAGTAAATAATTTGAAT